GATTTTCCAATAAAACTCAGGAGAGAAATGAATCGCAAATCGATTTTTTAAATAAACTCTTTTATCCCACTTGTGCTTTAATTTATAACAAATTATTTACTAGCCGTTTTTTTAGTAACTTTTGATATGATTCCTTATTTCATTTAATGTGATTTTTTTTGCCAATTTTATTAACATCGTCATTTGAAACTACATGTGGTCTATTGGTAACGCGCGGGCGAACTTTGAAGTTTTGAACAATGGTCAAAAGACACCACAGAGCTGGTCATCCTGCATACTTCCGTACCCCACCAATGTAAGGAATTTGAGCTTCAACAAATTTAAGGGGCATAAAACACTCTACTTGGAGGGTAGTGACACTAGAACACCAGGATCCAAGACTCGACAACATCGACCACGAGTTCGCGAGCATGGACTACTCAGCTACAATTTCTACTTATTTTATTCTTTACTTACTATCTACATTTTTCCTCATTTTTAATCCTTTCGGTTAAAATTGTTATTTAAAGGTATTGCTTTGTTTTCAAACAGAATTTTGAATTTTTAAGCTAAGCCAACAGTTCAAAACCCTATTTAATCAGAATTATTTAACTTCGCTTAGAAGAGTCTTTCTTAAATCTCTTGCCATAAACAGCTTTAACGTTAACTGTAATAAAACGGTATTAGTTTTAAACAATATGGAAGCAAGTTAATACCATTTTTTTTTTTATAAAAACAACTAGTAACTTTTTTTTTTCTTAAATTTAAATTGGCACTCTAAGATAAACAACTTCGCAATTTAGTTCTAAAGTTGCAGTGTTTCTTCACTGCGATAAAAAGCTGTTAATTTTAAGTTAATTTGCAAAGAAAAGCGGCCAGTTTCGAGTTCACGTGGATGATGAAAGACGCTAATTTTAAACTAATCTGGTACCTCCAAAAAAGTCACAAGAATTCGACAGGAAAAATTTTGAAAAAAAAAAGCTTTCTTGTTGAGTCTGTAGGGGAAAAAAAGTGATAAAATTTTCTAAGACACAACAAATACTTCCTTTTTCTTTTATTTGTTTTCTTTTTCTTTACTAGTGAGCAAGTTATATTTTTTATAAATAATTTTCATGTAATTACTAAGCTTTTTAGCAGGTGATATTAATTGAAAAGTCTTGATAAGCGTAATTGTTGAGTACCTTAAAGAACTGATAAGAGAGAAGAAAGCTTAATCTGATAAGCGCACAAAAATTTAAGTATGAAAAAAGGAGCTTTTGATATCGTAAATTACGTATATATACTCCTTATAAGTTATTATTTAAGTCCTATCATTAAGCGTGAGATTAAAATGGAAATTATTTTTCAGCCCTCACCTATTGATTTTGAAAGGACAGGATATGATTTTTTAACGCATAAATATATGTATCATTTACACCAGTGGTTCTCAAAACTAGGGGGCTCACCCTCTTAGGGGGAGGGGCGTGATAACCCTACGTTAAGGGTGGGATCATATTGAAAAGTCTAAAATAAAAAAAAAACATTAAAAATTATTAATTTACTGAAAAGCAAAACAAAATCTCCATTCTGGCATAATAAAAAATAAATAAAATACATATTTACACTTATAAACGTATTTGTAATTCACATGTATTTAATAATTAGGTACTAAATTTAGAACAAGTGTAATAATTACTATTGACTCCTATGAGCCTTTAAGCCATAATATTAGAGAAAAACTCAAACTCTAATTTTTTTTTCTATATTTAACTTATTATTTAACTATATTAACTTATATTTTGTTTTCAAAGAAGCCACCGCAGAAAATCTAGATGGATTTGGAATGAATGAAAAATGGATGATTGAGAAAATAAATATTTTATGTAATTAAAAATTATTTTGCAATCTGTTCCAATTTAAAAATTAGAATTTAGGCTGTTTTCGCCAAATGTACGAGAGCGTGAATTTACCAAGGAGCACATTTTCGGACAGAAGATATGCTCAATTTTTATAAAATTTGTGACATTGTAACTCATGTCATTTGTTATATAAATAAATAATAAAATACATATTTACACTTATAAACGTATTTGTAATTCACATGTATTTAATAATAGTACTAAATTTAGAACAAGTGTAATAATTACTATGACTCTATAGCTTTAACCATAATATTAGAGAAAAACTCAAACTCTAATTTTTTTCTATATTAACTTATTATTTAACTATATTAACTTATATTTTGTTTTCAAAGAAGCCACCGCAGAAAATCTAGATGGATTTGGAATGAATGAAAAATGGATGATTGAGAAAATAAATATTTTATGTAATTAAAAATTATTTTGCAATCTGTTCCAATTTAAAAATTAGAATTTAGGCTGTTTTCGCCAAATGTACGAGAGCGTGAATTTACCAAGGAGCACATTTTCGGACAGAAGATATGCCTCAATTTTTATAAAAATTTGTGACATTGTAACTCATGTATTTGTTTATAATATATAGTGTTTTTAAAATTTCAAAATATTTCATAAATAATTAGTTTTTCCTTTTAAAATATAAAGTGATAGCTCATTTAACATTACAGTATAGGAGAAAAAAGCGAAACACATTTTATAAAAGAAAAAAATGTGACAAATAGGATAAAAATGAGTATTATGATAAAATAAGTGATTCTTCTACAGAATATAGTGAAGCCAGAATATAATATTAATGTTCGAGTACTTCCATATATGAAAAAACATTCCAAATTTGGGTCTTATTCTTTAACATTAGCCGAAAGAAACAGCCTTAAACATAATACTTATTTTACTTCAAAGTAAAGTACTTAAAATCCCTTACTGAAAAGTAAGATATACAAAATTTAATACTAATCTTGATAATTTATACGATTTATAATTAAGATCCCATTGAGGCGTCTAAGTACATTACAACTACATTCACTATATTCTTATTGTATGGGGATGAAAATTATGATTGAAGATAAGGTCACAAATATTGAAAGCACTCATTTACCCCCATGTGGCTCGCCTGTGAATCGAATTTCGAAAAACCAATTTATAGGGAATATCTACTCAACAAAAGAAATATGCTGGGAAAATTTCAAGTCTGTGGGTTTCATTGTTCAAAAAAACTTTTTTATCTAAAACCCCCTCGTAGCTCCCCCCCCCGAAAACCACCTTGGTAGTCGATTTCCCCAAAGCCCCATTTTTAGAGGATCTCCTCTCAACGGAAGAAACAATTTGATTAAATTTCAAATCTGTACGTCAGTTAGTTCAAAAGTGAGAATTTTTCACATCTTTAACATCCTCGTAACCTCTCACAGCCCTAATTAGGAGACGATTTCTACAAAACCAATTCTAAGCGGATCTCTATTCATTAAAAGAAACATTTTTGACGAATTTCAAGTCTGTGAGTGTAATTAGTTTAAAAAGGGGAATTTCTGTTCATTTACCAGCTCAATTCCTCTTGGAAGCTTATTTCCCCCGCCCCCCCCCCAACCCTTTTATAGTGGATTCTACCCAACAAAAGGAACGTGCTTGCCAAATTTCAAGTATGTTGGTCTATTAACTCCAGGGATCTTATGATGAGGGAGTAATTGATTTTCTTTTTTCTGAGCATATTTGACTATTAATCGACCAAACATATAAAGTCGATGAATTTAAATGCTTTCGTTAATGGAATTAAAAATTTCTCCAATAGATAAATTTGGGTTCGTATTATTTCACGAACCTATTGCTACGTAATAAATATACAGATGGTATTTTGAAATTTTCGGAGAGATTTTGGGCCCGATATTTTGATACTGAAAATGTAAAAATTAATTTTTAAAGCACTTGACTTCATAAACTGTGTGTGGCAGCAGTAGTCGAGTTGCCGGAGTTGCGAGTGAGGGAGTAAATATTAACGTCGCACTAGCTCAGCTACACGAGGGCTTTTTGGCGACGGACTTCGTAATTTTGAACCATGGTCAAGTGACGAGGACGGCACCTAACTTCCATACCACACCAATGGGAGGACATTTGAGCATCGACAGATTTAACATGCATCGTCCCCCTACACATTGGGTCTTTCACAGTACTGAGCTCAAACTCATGAACCCCCCCGCACGCGTGCGGCCACGAGTTTGTTACCTTGACCAGTAGGTTACCAAAGCCACCTCGAGATTTTGAACCACGGTCATGTGACGAGGATGATACCTGACCTGGTACCCCTCTCCAAACATCCACACCAATGGGAAGACAATTTTCTTCGACAAATTTTACGTGCGTCAACCACTCGTAAAATTTGTCGAAGGTGGTCAGAGAGTGGTCAGAGACACTAGGTTTCGAATCCGCGATTCGACAACGGCAGCCACGAGCTCGAGACCATGACCCCTCAGCTACTGTTGACCAATTATAGAATTCGATTTTTCAGCAGAAATAAAGGCACAATAGTGTGTTGAGGAGTGAGATTTTGTGTTTTATTAACCTCGTACTATAAAGTAACACGAGGGCTATTGACAACGGACATCGTAATTTTTAAATTCGATCAAGTGACGAGGATGACACCTGAGCCGGCACCCCTCTTCTAATTGCCAGAGTGCACCAACGGAAGGACACTGAGCCTCAACAAATTTTTAGCGTACTCGGCGGGTCTTCAGTGGCACTAGGAATATGTTAAGAAAAAGCCAGAAGGAATTTACAGGAGAATAAGCTGAAAGGTGTGTGTTAGCAATACTTATGGTCAGTTTTTATTGGTTTTCGATCATGTCGTAGTGGTTTTTGAATAAAAAACCAGTGGTCTTCGTCTTGATGTAGTTGAACGTTTTGAAAGTCGTTGGAGTAAATAAATCGAATATATATATATACACACACATACATATCTCGTTCAAATTTGTAATCGTTAATATACTTCTTATTCATCACACACAATTCAAGTTCAATTACAATTTTTTAAACTTGTAGTGGATATAATAATTTATTAATTAAATTTAATTAATGAATAAATAGCAACAAACAAAAACAATAGTCCAACACCATACAAAAAGGATAATCGCTCATTGTGTCCCTGTAGCGCAATGGATAGTGCGTTGGACTTCAATTCCAAAGGTCATGAGTTTGAATCCCACCTGGGATGGCCTAATTTCTAAGAATGTTGTTTCTTTTTACTATACTATTTTATTAGAATAATTAAAATTAATGAATAAATAAACAGAAACAAACAAAACAAATTAGTCCAACACCTTATGTAGAAAGAATAATGGAAAATTGCAGGGGGAAAGTAGCTTTCTATTTTGTCTCTCAACATTTTGATTCTGCCACGTGTATATACATATTTATATTAATTGCAACTATTCATTAAAAAGTAACTAAAACAGAATTTTTCTTTGTTGACCAAATAGGAATTGACTTTAAAAAATTTTTAAATCACTTGCTATGTTTAATTTTTATTCCTACCCCCCTAAGAAAAGGCTACAAAAACCAAAACCTTTAATGTAACTTTCTTTGCATTCTGGAAACTTGGCTCGACTATTCCCCCTTTTCGACAGTACATAAGCCTATGTTACACTCAGGTAAGCCCGTGCTTCATTTGCCATATCGAAGTATTTCGAAAGTACCCTGCTTAATGGTTTTTATACAAGAATCTACAAATTATCTGGCCTTGGCCAAAAGTCCCGGCAAAAGACGTGGAAAATTAAGCTTTAAATTTTGATCCGCTATTTTGCTTGTTGCTGCTCTACAGGTGCTCGCAATTGATTTCTGTGCGTCGGCGGAATTTTCTCGTATAACCATTAAATTTATTTTGAAAACATCCGAAACAATATTTATTTTGTTTCGAATCTTCATCCCAAGTGAGAGTAATGATTGGCAACTTTTCCTTTTCTCCGATCACTAATGCAGCTTATTTTGAACTATGAAATTTTTACATCATGCGTTTCACAAGGCTTTTCAATTAGGGATATTTTCCTCGCAAGACACATAAAAATGTCCTTCGGGCCACAACTTTTTTACACCCATACCATTTTGAATGAATCAAACAATTGTTTATTTCAAATGAAACAAATTGTTGCCAGGAATTTTTTTTTCGAAATATTTACATTTCATATATTATTTATCAGAATTGTTTTGAAAATATGGAAACATTTTCTGTGATATATAACTATACTGCTTGATTAAATTCGAAAACGAATTTTTCCCTTCGAATTACAATAGAGTGAGTGATTTTGGGATTTATTGGCGCAAGAGCCGATTTCGGCTATACTGCGCCAAACATTTGTTTTAATATCTGTGGTCTAGACGTAAAGAGAAAGAAAGAATGAATTGAATGACAAGAAAAAGGGTCGAAAATAGAGAAGGATCACTAGGGTACCCCGTGTTCGTGAAACCCGTGTTTACCAAAGACAGTAAACCCCGTGGGAAAAGGAAAAGATCACTAGGACACCTCGGGATTGTGACACCCGTACTCACCTAAAGAAGGTGAGCCCCCTGAGGGGTGAATTATAATAGAACTCAAAATAAGTGAGGAGAATTTCGATTACACACTTTTATGGAATTATATTCATCTCTCGTAGTAAAAGCTCAGTCACTTTTTTTTATGAATCACAGCCCAAAAATGTGCTCAAGATATAATTTTTTATATTAGTTGTTAAAAATATCAACGATTAAGCTGATTTTTATCACAAAATTATCGGTTTTTGACGTGTAACATCTTTCCTCTCGATTGCTGGAGATTTGTGGGAGTGATTTCGTGAAAAGGGACGGAAATGCGTAACAGGAAGTAGGCAGGAAGTAACAGGCTCGTTTTTTTTACACAGTAGTTTAATTTTCTTAGTAATTTTTTGACGATTCCACCTGTCACACATCAATGTTTTTTACAGTATATTAAAAATATAAATCCATTTTTTTATAATTTACTTTCGATTTAATTAATGTTACATTAAAGCTACGGTATGGACTGTATAATTTTTTTTCATTTGATTTGAATAATTTACTTTCATTTAATTTTGATTGAGTGATTTCTTCTTAACGTAGTACTGAGAAACATGTGGACTACTGAAAACGGAACTTAAATTTCAGCCATAGTTGAGTAAAGATGCATCTTTAAACTAAGGCCCCACTCCACAAACTTCCCCACTATGTCAACATGGGGACTTTGAACCTCGATAATTTTGTCATGCATCAGCTACTCTAGACGTCAAGTAGCTCAATCTCGAACTAAAGATTTGTCCGAGAGAAACTTCGTGAGAGATTCCAACCCCTACCTCCAGACGAGGAAGAGGAACTTTAAATTTTATTTCAATCCCTGTATCTTATCTGGACGCATAAAGACTTCATTTAAATACATATAACATTCTATATACTAAATATAAATACGTATTACAACCCTCTTTACTACTTTATGCTACAATCGCTCATCATTAACACCTGTTCACAAATTAGTTATCTCAGATAAATCATGTAGTACTAGAGGGGGGGGGGTTCAATGTGGTTTTTTTAAAAAAAATACCGTAGCTGTTTTCTTTTTAATTTTTAATGTAATGAGAAAAGGCACGAAACTACATTGTGGGTATAAATGTAGACTTTATTCAAAGTATACACCATAGGCCCGAGCACAACAATCCTATTGATTAACGAGCCGAAGGAATCTTCCTGTGAGTGTGACGAGACCCAGTCCTTCACAATGTCCTGAGTCCTTTCTTTTTAAATTTATATATCTCGTGCACCATGCGATGTATAACACGTTGGCATGCAACGCAGACAGAAGAAAGGATTACAACACAAACATCCATGCATTCTCCGGGATTCGAACCCAGTCCCTACGGTACCGCAGTCAGCTTCACCGACCACTATACCGGATGGGCGGCGCGTCCCTGAGTTCGTCGTAAGAATTGAAGCATTTCAGATGTTTTTGCAGCGGACCAAACACATGGAAATCGCAGGGCGGATGGTAAAGCTGCTCCCACTTGAACTTGGCCAGTTCAGCGTGTGACCCTGGAGATATGTGGATACGCGTTATCATGGAACAGAACCATACCCTCCGTGGCGATGAATAGCGACCAGTTTAACACTTTCCTCTGCCAAAAATCGAATTTGACCTCGCTACTCCTCAATCGTCGAAGTTTGCAATGTAACCGCCATCAAGTCCTCACATACAACCTCTGCTCTCTCTCCAAGGCATGTTCCGATCCATCACGGAGACTCGTCCTTAGATGCCTCGCCACGTTCTCCAATAGCGGCCATAAGCAAATACCAAGTAGGCAAAAAATTCATAAAAACTTTAAAAATTTATAAAAGCCAGAAAATTAAACAAAATGAAAAAGGGTTTGCAAGTTAAGCATCGATAAGTCACGGAATTTTTCTTAAGATAGGAAAAAGAAAAAAAATTCAAAAAACACCCAATAGATGGCGTTTTGTACATTAGTGAAAGAAAAGACTCGCAAATAACAGAAGTAACGTTACCAAATCATTTATTACAGCAGCATATGCTCCACATATCCACCACCGCAAGGGATAACACATTCCAAACGTGTCACAAATCCAGCAACGGCAGAGTGCAGAATGTCCGCCTGTATACATGACAGCTCTTGGTGTATCGCATCTTTCAATTCCGACAGATTGGGTGGATGGAATTTATACACCCAGGAATTTTATTATCCGCACAGCCAAAAGTCTACTGGGGTCAGATCTGGAGACCGAGGAGGCCATTCAAACTTGCAACGTTTGCTAATGGCTCTTAGACTTGGTCGTCCAAATCTTACACGTTCCTCGAGCGATCCAGTTTCCTCAAATCGCTGAACAAGCTTTATGAGACGTACCACTGTTGAACTACTTTTTCCAGTCTTCACTTTTTTTCTGAATTTGGAATTCACGCAGTGCAACAGTCGCTGATTCCTTGTTCCCCAACAAGGAATCCCCAAGAAAGCTTTGCCTTTTTCGCTCAGCAGCCTTGTTCACTCAGTTGGCATGCAACGGAGAATTAGATCTGGACCAAGATCATCAGTATTTATAATCGCCTATCTCATTTGCAACTCAGTCGTTTGTACGAGCGCAGTCTGTCGGCAGGTTTTTTCCCTTTAAAAAATCTCGTAACTTATCGATGCTAAACCTGCAAACCGTCCATTATTTTATTTTTTTTTTAATTTTCCGGGTTTTATAAGCTTTTAAAGTTATACGGACTTTTTGCGGTATAACGGTATGTTAATGGTTACGTTGTTGCGACGTTTCATAACTTCTCATTTGAACATCTTTTGTATTTCTTGATAAGAAAAACAGGCAAAAAACTCCTGGGCTTAAATAAATCAAGTTAGTTACGAAATAACATCATCTTATTTAAAGTGTTCTAGAGATTTCATTAAGTACTTCAAATAGAGTTTTCGAGTTCCTGATTTTACTAAAGCCTCTCGTAAATGGGGATAATAACCCTTAATTTTCCTATTTATCGACAAAGCTGGAGAAAATTGGCATCAGTGTTAATGGTTTGAAGATTATAATTCAGTCAATATTGTTATTTTCAAGAAAGAGTTTTGTAAGAAGAAATCCAGTTTTTTGCAGAATTAGACAGAGACTGGCCTTTAAAAAAAACATAATGTTCCCATAATTCTACAGATATTTAGGAAATTTGTGTCACGCCATATATCTCAAAGTTCTTCCACATTCAAATGATTTACACTCTTTTTCTCGTTCTCTTTTTCACATCACCATTTATAATTAAAATTTATAAACTGTTATATTTGTTCCTTTAAGTATTTAAGAGTTTTTTGTTCGATTAATTGATCGTTTAATAAGTCACACTTCGAAACTGCACTGATAGTATTGGTGACCACGAAATTTTAAGCAATGGTCAACTGATGAGGATGAAACTAAAATGGAAAATCCACTCTCCTAACTTCTATACTACTCCAGCATGAGAACTTATACCGATTTAAAGTGTATTAGCCGTTCACAGACCTAAATGGTGTTCAGGATTCGAACCCGCGACTTGGCATAAACAAGGTTGGTGTGTGTGTCTCGAGTTCTCGATCATAACTAATTGATTATCACATCCGTTCTATACTAGACTTGTTCCTATTTTGTACTAGAATTGTTCAAACTTTGTACATGAGAGAGAGAAAGATAGTTTATTAACGTCATACTACA